CCACCTTTGATACCTGATGAAGGACTATTGGATACACTAGCTGATATTTGTGTAAGGGCAGCTTTCTTTAGGAAAGCTTTGGAAATTGTTGCTTGCATGGAAGAGCATGGTATACATCCGAATAAGACCAAGTACAAGAGAATCTATGTGGAAATGCATTCGAGGATGTTTACAAGCAAGCATGCCTCGAGAGCTAGACAGGACAGAAGAAGGGAAAGGAAAAGAGCAGCAGAGGCTTTCAAGTTTTGGTTGGGATTGCCTAATTCTTATTATGGAAGTGAGTGGAGGCTTGACCCGGCATATGAAGAACATGATACTGAGTCTGCTTGAACCAAATCTACAATACAAACTTTTTATTGAATAGTCGAATATTTTCAAGGAGAAAACTTTATTGTATCATACTACTTATAAAGGTTGAATTGCTCAGCAACATCTATTATTGGATATCCTCAGTCTATCATACATCTATTTTTTTTCAAAAGCAGTAATGCTTTACAGAGTCTAAAATACAAGGCGTGGATATCGGACAGTTTAGTGTCCTTGAGAATGTGAAGTGCTTGAAGACGTATAGAATCACCATCTGTAACTGAAGAAGCTATATTAATAAATAGAAGAGAAGGGGAAATAGAGAAACAAAAATTGAGAATCAACCTGCTAGCTAGAGCTTTGCTTAACCTATCCCTTTGACCTTGATGATTCACTAAGTGAATAAGATGATGATAACACCTGCAGTAAGAATTTGGATAATTCTATATGTACATTATGGTATCTATAAGGGTATTCATAATATACACATGGAATTTCATGATTGGAGGGTTGAAAAAACTGTTTTTCAACTCTTCAATGATGTTTGCCATTTATACATTATAGACACCCTTATGGACACCATAATATACATGTAGTATAACCCACAGAATTTTAGACTCTTAATTATGGTAGTAATTTAAGACCCACAAACACCATCATCAGATCCTATTTGCTTGCATTAGATATCTGCTAAGTTGCCAGAAACAGCTTGAAGGCACCTATGTGTGCAAATGATTTTGAGTCGGTACGAATCCCTCTCCTTCCGGTTCCGTTGAGGCTGATTTATCATATTCTGATATTATTGATCGATTTGGGCATATATGCAGAAATCTTATTGGAGACTTCGATTCATCAGTTTTAAACATGGAAGATCATATTCAAGTTAAGCTAACAGATCATAACAATTTCATATGTATTTACATCCCTGAAGATTCAAGTTCTTTTTTAATTTTTGCATTTTGTGAGTAAGAATTGCAAACTTATGTGCAAATTATGATAAAGCTACAAATGACAATACCTGATAAGTCCTTGGCCCCTTCTTAAATAGATAATCAACACTGTTCAAATTATCTATAAAAGTTTCGAATATCTGGAACATTAAACCAATCCTATCTACCAAACTGTATAATTTCATGGGCAAATAATGGAAAAGTTGGATGTTTCGTTTGATAATTTCACCTTTTTGTAGAATCTAGATCAATGCAACAATTGAACTAATCAATGGTACTTACAGAAATTGAGAAGTTATCTTTCTGCAGCGACTTTGACGGCATATTCAGAACACTCAAAAATCGCTTTGCTACTCTGTTTATTCATTCTATCACTCCGCCCAAAATCAACAAAACCATTTTCATCCACATATTTATCATACAATTATTCTTTCATTATTTCAATAAAGTCCTTCATAATTTACCTACCATAATCAATCCTAAATATTTGGATTACTAAATAAAGAATCTGAATAAAAGTTGTGCAGGTACATGAATATGCATTTTTTAAGAAAATAAATAGCCAGAATCAGTAGTACATCATCATAGATTTTAGCAAACCAATCAGAAGCTGTAGAACTTAAAGATATTTGAGAGTGAACAAGTCAAAACTTTAGCACATTTACAAGGTTAAAAGGAGTTAAATCTTATCCACTGAGTCTTGTTATTAAACACCAATGCAAGATCATTGACCTTTACTTGCCTTTCTTAATACTAATTTATTACAAAAATTGTTTTGTGCATTCCCTGAGGCATCCATTTGAACAATTTTAGTTTTGTTTCTGGTCTGTTAAAGTATAGCAATACAGGGAAAACAGAGTACTTTACTACAGATGTTAGTCTCCTTAGGTAGGAACTTTCACTAGCCATCTTTACTCACCTTTTGCTCCATAAAAAAGATATTTTCAGTTTGGTATTATCCAAAGGAAATATATATTAGTTAAATTTCATGGGTTGTTGACCTAGTTACTCCATTCTAGATTTTCCATCTTCCGTCTCACTGCTAAACATGAAATCAGAGCCTCCACACCTTGAGAGAGTATAAAGCGAATAGACAATTTGACAATTTGCAGGCATCCATCTTTTTCAGCTTAGACATGATAGGCAAATGACTGCAATAAGCTCTTTTTCAAACCACTGAAAGAGCATCAAAAATTTGAGAAATAGACAGTCATCTATGTCATCCATGTACCTGACCATCCCAAGAGTTCTAGGATCATCATGAGCTTCCTGGTCGTGTAAATGGTCTGGTCCTTGCATCACACCAAGGGCCATATCTGATCTAATGCAATCAACATAATTACATGAGCAACTGGTAAGATTCTCTTGTGGTTCTATAAGTTTGAGATCCGAAAAGTCAGCAATAAAATATTCATGTCTCTTAGAATACTCAATTAGCCCTTGTGGTACATATCAAGGTAACCAGTTGAGGGAAAAAAAAATGAAGAGCAAGGACATACTTTCTATGAGATGCCGATTTTGAAAGTTGTCGTCTAGCCACTTATTTCTTACAAGACAAACTTACCATAGCATCTTGAGTGCTAATTTCTTCTGTTAAGCCCCAACTACTAAATACAGATTCTTTGCCTCTGTAAGCTCGCTCGCTCGCTCTCTGTCTGTCTGTCTCTCTCTCTCTCTCAAGATGACTCAGTCTTTACCCGCTTCTTCCATGTCTTCTCTTTCTCCTCTTGAAATAGGAACAGAATCTCCAAACTAGACTCATGCTGTTATTATTGCTCTTCATAATCTATGACATTTTATGGCAGAGAGCAAATTGAATGTGAATCTTACTATAAGATAGGACTGGAGAGGATAGGTCCAGATAGAGCATTAAATAACATACAACCAAAAGAAAACACGAGAAGATTTTCTATCTAAGACAAACTATAATCGAAAACGAAGCAAAGATTCATTCTTCTAAGAGCTACAGCTTGTTTTGTATGTCCTAACTTTACATCCATAAGGTCAGTAGTTTTTGATACCACTACATTGCATATCACAAAATTGGGAAACTGGGAAAATAAATCAAATTAGAACGAAAATAAAAATTAAGAGAAGAAAGAGAGCAAAAGGGAAAACGGAAGAAGGGACTTTTTAACCAAGCTGACTAATCTTCAGCAACTAAGATACCCCTTAACATGACTGAGAAACGTATATTCAGATTTTAAGGAGAAAATGCCACGTAAAAGATTTAGATGCAACAGTCAATTGGAAAAACGAAGAGGAAGGATTATACCAGTCACTTGTCATAGGATCCATATTCACTTCACCATGTGTTTTTTAGGACCAAAATGGTGCGGAGGATAAACCGAGTTCTTTGTTGGGATCGAGCGTGCTGGAGAGTGGAGAAACGCCTTGTGTTGATGGAATGAAAGAGCTGGAAATTGGAAAAAAGAATAGGCAAGAAAGAAGAAAGACCATTTAACTATGTGATTAGTGATTAATAAATGATTTATGACTTAATATAGGACCACTATGTATAAATTTTGTTAGGTGAATATTACCTTGTGTAATTTATGACTTATGTGATTGTCAGTCTTAAAGAGTGTGGTATGTGATTATAGTTATAAGTCATAAATGTGATCAACTTATTTTTAAAGGTTTTTTACAAGTTTTTTAGTAGAAATTACACTAGCACAATTTTTTAAAGATTACAATTCAAAAAATCGGTTGAGAGTTTGTTTATTCAAAAATTAAGTCGTAATTATATATTTTAATGATAATATAAAATTAAACTACACACCATCCAGTAACCCACTCAAAGCGTGATTTAATCCCAATTTTCTCTCTCTCCCCCCCCAAATTTTTCAATTGGGGCTCAGATTGCCATTGCAATGATTTTGAGGTGGTTTAGGACAGTTTGTGTGGTGGTTTTTGGTAATTTTTAAGGCATTTTGTGGTAGTTTTTGACGTGATTTGTGGTGATTTTGAGATGGTTTTATGGTGGTGGTTTTTGAGGTAGTGGTGCTTGTGGTGTTGGTGGAGGTCATATGCTCATAGAGTGCATGTCAAATGTTGTGTAGATGTTGATAGTGTCAATAATAGTGGTGGGTTACAAGTCACATGTACCAGGTGACAAGTTATTTTGCATTGGTCACATATAAATATTCACAGGTCACAATCAAATAGAATTAGTCATAGATCATATTTATATGTCACAAATCACACACCTGTGGGTTACGAGTCATATTATATGTCATAGATCAATGGCCACCGTGTGTGGGTCACAAATCAATGTCCACAAGTCACATATCAATTAAAATTGATCTTAGATCAATGTCCATAAGGTCACATGTCACATGTAACTAGTCATATATCAAAATGCATAGGTCACAGATCACAAATTCAAGAGATCTGCTCAGGCGCCATTGATATCTCCAACCTTGGTTTTTCGAATTGGTCACGAATTCAATTAACCAGATTTCGTCGATGAGAATTGAAATTATTTGCTCGGTGAGTATTCTGTAAATTACACGAAGGGGTATTTTTCAATTTCTAATTTTAAAGTATAGATTTAAATTACACTAATACCGCTCAATCGTCGACAATGATCATTCAATGTTCTCCGACAGCCGCTTTGTTTCTTCCTCTATCTCTACTATTTGAGTCACCGATGCTCAGTTGTCGTTGAGCGATGATTAGTTTGTCATTGAAGAAGTCGTCGACGATCTCTACAAATTCTATCTTTCCTCATGTAAAGTTATTTGGATGTCTATGGGTGGATGTCGTCGATCGATGGATGTCTACGACCGTACGAGAGTGACAATGGAGTGGTGCATGAGAGTGAGAGTGAGAGTGAGAGTGAGAGTGAGAGTGGGAGTGGAGTGGGGTGGGGTGGGGTTGGGGGTTTAGTAGGCGTGGGTAGATTAATTGAATATAATAATATTATTATTCAAAATTAAAATACTAATTAATACCTGACTTTTGAAATTTTGAACTTAATTTCTGAAAATTGAACTGGTAATACGATATATGAATTTTGGCCTTTTTGTAATAAATTATTGTAGTCATGAATTTATTTATTTATTTTTATTATTATTATTTTTTCCAATCAGAATCCCACTTTGTGGTATTTGGTATAGCCCAATTAAAATTCAATCATCATCAAAGTGCATATCCAAACCAGGCCTGTTTTAATAGAGCTATCGAAGGAGCGGCTATGGGGTTTCCCCTTGGCATTGCACTAGAAGCTGGGAACAATTTACTGCGAAGGGAGAAAGAGACTTGTTCATCACCAAACTTGTAAGTTAAAAATATGATTTAAACATCTGGGCTTTATACGTCGATTTCGCGCCCGACTTGGTTGTTGTAAATGATCAACACAACCTCGATCTAATCCTGCCGAGTTGCTATCATCAGTTGCAGGGAAAGGGGCAGATAATCCCCTAAGATTCCGTCCAACCTCATCGCTAATCTCTTCTCCTTGCTCGTTGCAATTTATTTTTTTCCCAAGATTGTTGTTTCTTGATGGTGATCTTCTTTATGCAACAGCGATTTTCTCGACTATCTCTCTCTTAAACTGTTGATGTGGTTGTTATGGTATGCTCCTTGCATTTTGAACTGGCCGCATTTATAGAGTAATCAGTGAAATACCTGGACCAAAATCCCGCAGTGGAACCCAGGTGGCTCCCCCCCCTGCTCGAGAAATTCTCAATAACTAGGGAGCATTTTTTTGCTGAATTAAGTTTGTGCTTAAAACTTAGAGAGGGATTCCATGGTAACTGGTAGTGAAAATAAAGTTACAGAAATATTTTCTGGTGCCAATGCCCGGGGAGTCTACTGAAGCTATGGAATTGGTTGGGATAATGCTGGATGGTAATTTGGATATGGAAAAGAAAGGGGAAGATTTTAAGAATTTAGGAAATGACACCAATATAGAGGGGGTGGAGGATTCGAATCGACGGTTTGGCGTGACAGGGGGTTCAATGTCTAAAAATGGAGTTGGCATGAAAGGAACTGTGGTTGACAAGGGTTTCGATGAGGGGAATCCAGAATCTCTTGGGGAAGAAGCTGGTCTAAATGCAAAGCAATATTTTCTCTGTAACGGACAGGTGTCAAATGGAACATCAGAAAATGTGGAGGGGATTCATGTTAAGCCTGGGTTGCTGATTCCTAAAAGACGCAGAGGAGAGCATGTAACCGAAAATGAAGGCGAATATTACTTGTCAGATCTAGTATGGGGTAAGGTTAGGAGCCATCCATGGTGGCCTGGGCAGATATGTGAACCTTCGGCAGCTTCTGAGAGAGTGATGAAGTATTTTAAGAAAGACAGCTATTTGATATCATATTTTGGGGGTCTGAAGTTGGCATGGAATGAAACATCAAAAGTAAGGCCATTTCAGATGTACTTCTCTCGAATGGAGAAATGTAGCAAAACTGAAGCTTTTTCTCATGCCGTGAGTTGTGCCTTAGATGAGGTTGCCAGACGGGTTCACCTTGGCTTATCATGTCCATGCTTACTGCAGGTAGTGCATGACGAGATAGAATCCAAGGTTGTTGCAAATGTTGCTATTAAAAAGGGATGGGGTAGAAGAAATGGCAGGGATGGTTTTTCCAGTACGGTCTCGTTTTTGCCTGCAGAAGTTGTTCAGCGCCTGAAGTCATTGGCTGAAGCCCCACTCTATAGAACTGATAGATTGGAGCTTGTGATGATAAAAGCTCAGTTACTGGCCTTCAATCAGTGGAAGCGTAAAAACAAGCTTCCGTTTCTCAAAGAGCTTGGTGGATTGTTCAATCCTGATGCTCATATTGCTGAACATGGTGGCGTAAGGCATTCTCTTGAAGTATGGGAAGGATTGTTTCCAGGTTCCAATGGTGCTGATCTGGTTCCATCTAAAATGGAAAAGTCAATTCCTCAAGATAGTTCTTGGAAGGGTAAGTACCTCTCAGGTAGTGATAAGCGCCCCCACAAAAGGGAAAGACGCATTTCAGCCCCAATGTCCCTTAGCAGCCCAACTTTACTAAATGGTCAGAAAAAGAAGATGGTTTTATCTGGTAAAAAATGTGAAACTGTTGATTTTCAACCATGTGATTCCAAAGTGAAAAGAAGAAAGAGTCTTTTGTTGTCAAGTCCCCATGGTAAGACATCTTCACAGGCTGAAACGTATTTTAGAGACGGAGAACCCATACACAGGGTTCTCAAGTATGGCGATGGAAATTCTAATCAAGCCCCAGCTAGAAGTGGTGAAAAACTGGCAACTGCTGATCTTCAAATTCCGACCCATGGTTACAGGATATCTCATGGAGAGAGAATGGTTCCAGCTGAGCACCCTCCTCCAGATGAGATTTATTCAAAGTTGTGCTTGGCTGCAATAGATCCAACTAAAGGGCACGACTTTTCAAGTTCAATAGTTAGTTCGCTTTGTGAATTCCGGAATTTAATTTGCCTGGGAAAAAGCAAAGCAAGAAAGCACAACAGGCATGCTGGGAAGCACGAGGAGGAACAAACGTCCATCTCGGGGACTACAGATACATTTGAATTTGTAGGTACAGAAGACTCGTATTGGAAGGACATAGTCGTTCAGAACATCTCTGAAGATAGGGTGCTATTAGAACCTGAGATCCCTACCAAGAAGAATGCCTCTGTGGCTGAACCAGAAGCTGTTGTAGGTATGCATGGAAGCACAGACAATAAACAAGAAAGAGATGTCATTCTGGATAAGGAAACAGATAATCCATCTTGTCTCATGGACGAGAAATCCGAGGAAAATTCTCCAATGGCACTGATCCTTACCTTTACAAATTTAGAATCTATTCCTTCAATAATCAATCTGAACAAGATATTTAGCCAATATGGACCTCTGATCGAGTCAGAGACTGAGGTATTGAGTAAAAGCAAGCGTGCAAAAGTGTTCTTCAAGAGACGAGCAGATGCTGAAACTGTTTTTAATGATAGAGGGCTATTTGGCATTTTTGGATCAACACTTGTCAGTTACCGACTCAAGTATTACCGTAAACTGGCTGAAGCTCCTACAACCTCAAAGCAGAATAAGAAGACAACACTGGTAGAAGGCAATGCTGTTTGAAAGTTTGACGAGGATCTATTGGGGTATTTCCTACTATCTATATTCCTACGTAGGTTGTACTAACATTGGAATAATGTGCACATAGATGAGCGCAACTGAATAATGTTTAATTTGAATAGATGCTTAGTAAGTAGAATTTAAAGAATGTCTGATCTTTATTTGATGGTAAGACATAAGCATGGAATTTGCAATTTGTGGGATATGTTTATATATTTCTTTTCATAGCGGATGTTATAGGGTGATTAATCTGGTCTTCTAATTTCCAAATTGCCTGCCATCCCTTGATAATTGTTTTGCACTGTAGAAATGTTCAGACACCCGATTTACTTGTTGACACGGTTTGAACTTGTTCAATTGTCTCGGACTATATAATGAAAAGGTACCGTTCTCAAATGAATCTGTGATCAATTTATATGTATATTGCGATTTCTTGAAGAATTTGTGCCATTGGATACTGAATTTCTAGTTCGCAGCGTGTCTAATCAACTGCTCGATAAAAATGGCATGGACAGTTAAATCTTTATTGGGTTAATATATAACTTCTAATCTCGTTTCAATTAACTTGGACCTATTGACGTTGTTTCAGTCTGTTCTTTAAAGTTAATCAACATTTGCCATTACACATGCAGAGGGTAGCCAATGTAACGCCCCGAATTCTCTAGCAACCCGGAACGTTACCAAACGTGAATTGATTAATAAAGTGCTTGAAGCAAATAAATTTTAAAATAACAAGAAATTCAATAAAATTGAACAACATTTAATAAAGATACTAAATTTAATAAAAATAAGCGGAACAATTTGGAATCATATCTTTTATCAAACATTAATAAAAGTAGTTCTAACAAATAATAAAAATAGGGCTAATTGAAAGTTATGACGTGACTCACAATTGAGTCTAAATTTAAAAATAATAATAATCAACTGTTATTAAATATTCTAGTATTTCTAAAAATTAAAGTACTTCATGATGAAGATCCATTGGTCCAATATGCATCCATCCACCGCCGTCCAGCATACTAATTTCTACCTGAAAATTGTAAATAGAGAGGGATGAGTATAACGAATTATACTCAATGAGATGCTTGCTACTCCACTTTCAAATCAAACGTGAAATTATGCATAAATTCTCTTACCAACATAAAATGAGAATTATCACACCATGACAAATGATAATTCAAGCAAGCGCTGCAAATAACGTGAAGGCTAAATTGTGCCTTAAACTGTATCATGATTTCTCCCAAAGGAGCTCTGAACTGAAGTAATTAAATCCATACACAACAACGTATTTGAAAAAATGTGGACAAACCACTAATAGCACTGAGCATCTCACCTTTTGAAGATGAACGTGGAAAACAAAATTGCTGAAAACGTGATTCTTTATTGAAATTCCAAAGCCTTAAAAAGCCTTAATAATATGGAGAAATATTTTTAAAGAGGAGGAGAGAATAAAGACTTGTAGAAGAAGAATGAGGAATAGGTTTAGTGCTATATTTATACTAAACCATGGTGTGGGAAGTGGAATTTTGATAAGTTTTGAATTCTAAATTTCCGTCCATACACTCCTCGGCAACTAGACTTCTATCTGATTTGGGGATAACTATTTGTTTTGATAAGTTTCAAATCCACCACAATTATAAAAGATTTAATGGCATTGAAATTGTATGACTCCTTTACGTGGGTCATGGTATCTCCAAATTGCATGAGATATATATATTTATTATTCTAATAAAACAACTTAATTAATAGCTAATTAATTTCTTGTCTTCGATTAAAACAAAATAAATGGGAGAGTGTTTCAAATGAAATAACTTAACTAGTTTAATTAATTAAAGTCCTAACTATTCTAATACGATAATTATTAGAAGAATTTATCATAATCAAAATCCTACATGATTAGGAATAATAATTTATATCCTAATTAAAGTAGATTAGCATTACAAGGAATTTAATAGTTTCTGGAGTATTATTATTATGTTTTAATCAATTATCTTTAAATTCCTTAATTGTCAATACCTAACATATTTTATTCCTAATGGCCGAGAATTGCAAATTGTATGGATAGTAAATAAATTAGAATTTCATTTATACCTTGATTCTTCCATTGATTCCATCTTAATTCAACTTATCCAAAATATCATTTTCTTAATCCTAATATATATAATTAATTATTATCTATCAAAGGAGTCCAATATTGATATAGTAATTTAGTCCATATTGATAACTAATATTATTAACTAAGTAGCTTTCTTAATTGGCTATAACTCAAGTTTAACGAATCCAAATTGAATTTTTCTTGAGTCCATAATTCACCATTTATTACGAGCTTTAAAATGAGCCCAATATTGATAGGGTAATTCTAACTCCTTCAATAATTAACTATTTGGCCTATTTAATAAAGGTATAAAATCTGAAACTTATTTTCACTTTGGTCCCTCAACTATAAAGATATTCACATAGATCCAAATTAACTATAGAGATAACCAATTAACTTGTATAAGGACTTAACTGAACATTGCATTCCTATTAAATAAATTAATGCTAAGTAAAAATTCGGAATTTTACAACCTACCCTCCTTAAAATAATTTCGTCCTCGAAATTTACCTTAAGTTAGTTGAAAAGCTCGGGATACTTGATTTTCATCTCTTCTTCCTTTTCCCAAGTTGCTTCTTCCATTCCATGATT